TCCTAAGAGTAAATGTAACCAGTAAGTTAACAGTGTGTTAGTTCGTTCAATCTCATCTATTAAACTTTTATCATTTAATACAATTTTGTGTTTCAGTACCAAGTATCCACTATTTTGGAGTCAAATCATACAATTGTTAGATCAGATCGTCTTCCAAGTAGCCAGTATAGTTTCCGGAACTCGATGTTTAGCTCATCTTGCTTCTTTTTGATGTGGGTCTTCCATCGGAGTTTGGCATCAAGAGTCATTCCCAGGTATTTTGCCGTATTTGCTGGTGGAACCATTATGCTATTGAGGAAAATGGGTTGGTAACCAATGTTACGATTTGTAAAGTTTAGCCTAGCCTACCTGATTCGCCATTTGCAGGTTCATGCAGCAACATTATCAACTGACCGTGGCAGCTTTGTCGTTGATTCCTGCAATGAGTCGCCTGTTGCCAGCATTGCAGCGTCATCCGCAAACGTGGCCATCATGCAGTTTGGTGTTTGGGGTATATCATTTGTGTAGAGCAAGTACAGCTTGGGCTCCAGTACATTTCGTTGAGGAACTCGGTCAAATGCTTGTGCTACATCTAAGAAGATAGCAGAGCACACTTTCTTATGCTCAAGGAATTTTTCTATGACGTCAGTGATTCGGTGTACTTGGTCAATCGTTGAATGTGGACTACGGAACCCAAACTGATGGGTTGATATTTTTTTGTGATTGCAACCTTTTCAGAATCAGCTTTTCAAATAATTTTGACATGATTGGTAGCAGTGAGATTGGCCGATATGATTCTACTTTATGTGGATTTGTGCCAGGTTTTGGAATCATAATTACATCCGATACTTTCCATTGTACCGGTACATATTTTAGTCGGATTGACGCGTTAATTAATGTAGTCAATTTTACCAAGGCTTTTCGTTGCATTTTCTTTAGTATTGTACCTGTGATCATATCAAAACCGGGTGCTTTGTTCGGGTTTAGGTTCATTTTAACTTCTTGACTGACTTCTTTTGTTGTAACCAGCGGAATTGAGTCCAAGGGGTAATTTGGAGTTAGGTTAGGCAGTTTATCCACCCCGGTATTAGGCAAAAATCTAGTCTCGAGGTGTTCCGCAAAGATCATTGCTTTATCGTTGATAGTACGAGCCCATAGTCCATCAATTTTTTGGATGGGTGGCATTTGTGTTACAGGGCGCTTTAAGTATTTTGTTACTTTCCACAAGGAATATCCTGTGCTATCATCTACGGTTAAATTGCTGAGATAGTTGTTGATTGAAGAATTTTTCAATGCTGCAATCTCTCTTCTTAGTTGTTACGCGTATTTGTTTAGGATTGTTTTGTCGTTGGTGCCCGTGTTTGATGCCAGCCCCTTCTTAGTTTTCGTTTTACAGCAATCATATCTCTAAATTCTTTCGGGAAGTTGAGTCCCTTAGATTTTGTTTTAATAATTGGTGTGCTGTTCCAGGCGGCCTGTTGTATAGCTGCAGTAAAATTGTACACTTCATCCTCTAATTGTTCAGTCGTCTTGAGGGGGATATTTAGTTTAATATTGCTCTCCAGGAGAATATTGAAGTATTGCCAGTCTGTATAGTTGTTTGTCAAAACTGTGCTTCGGCCTTTTGTAATAATATGTTCGCTGATCGTTAATAGAATTGGAGAGTGGTCGGAGTTCAAATCGTATCTTTCATCAATTTTTAAATAGTTTTCTGAAATGTATTTGGCTACAAAAAAGTCAATCAGATCTGGGGTTTTGTTTGGGTCGGTTGGCCAGTATGTGGGTTTTCCACTGGATAAGAAAACACATCCGAAGTCCATAGCAGCTTGGTATAACTCACGCCCTTTTGCCGTAATAAGTCTGGATTCCCAGTGCGTGTGCTTCGCATTAAAGTCGCCTCCAAATATAAATCGTCCATTTAGTTTCGCAAACAATTCCAAGAACTTGTCTGCATATATATTGAAACGAGGAGGGCAGTATATTGCACTTATAGTAAGTGTTTGTGCTGTTGTCATAAGTGTTACAGTCGTTGCATATCAACTTGCATATCACAGGTCGAGCACTTTTCTTCTTCATAATGTTTTATATTATCTCTGATTATTATAGCACTTCCTCCCCGAGCTGTTTTGGCGGGGTGAATGGTATATGTTGTGAAATTTTTGAATTTAATATGTGATTCTGTTGTGAAATGTGTTTCAGAAATCAAGCAAATATCAATATTTTCAAAACTTAGGATTGCCTGCAGCAGGAAATTAGGCATTATTGATGTTGGATTCAATTTTATCTAACCGCTGCATGATTTGCTGCAACATTGATTCTATTGAGTTTTGTGGTTTACCTTTTGTTTTGTCACTGTAGGATGGTTTCGGAACTGCAGAGTTTCCATTTGCTGGTTGTTCTGGGAGAGTGTTTGGGTGTGAATTGGTGCTTTTTGCGTTTTCTCTTCCACTTTGGCGGAGGGACCCTGACTGTGTTGGTTTTTTGTGAGACTTATTTCTGTATTTTAGTATCTCTTTGTAGACTTCACATCCACGATAATTTGCCGGATGATTCTCTCCGCAGTGTACGCATTTTGGATCAGCGTTTGGTGGCTTATTGGAATCCTGTGTAGGGTGAGATTTTCTACACTTTGCGCACCTGGGGGTTTTGTGGCAGAAGTTGTGTGTGTGTCCATATTGTTGGCAACGTTTACATTGTGGTGTGAATTTATTTCTTCTCAGTGGTTATATTTAATCGATTTCTGTTTTATTATCAAATGACACAATAAACATGTTTAGTGGTACTGTTTCTTGAATATGATTGGCTCGCCTTTCCTTTTTCTGTTCTGAAAAAATTGACAGAATGTATGACAAAATTGAAGACAACAACAAAATTATGAACGAAATGAGAGATAAATTGGACGACAACGCTAAGAAATTTGAAGACTTGAAGACAACCGTTGAAGACACACTAAAGAACATCGAGGAAGACAGTGTCAAGCTCCAGAAGATTCTGAAAGAAGACAATACGAAGTTTCAGAACGATGTTAGAGATGAAAATATCAAGTTTTAAGACAAAGTTGATGAAAATATCTGTCGATTTCACGCACATGTGGAAGAAGAAATAATCAAAATTAGACAAAAATATTCCACATATTTATGCCAATTTGAAGCCTCTGCATTATTTAACGGGTGGAATGATCAGGAGAAGGCAACAACACGTATTATTTCCCTACGAGGCGAAGCACCGGAAATTTTACGATCAATACCACAAGATGACCGTAAGAACCATCAGGCCACGCTCGAAATTTTTTAAATGAGGTATGGTGATACACATTTGAAAGAAGTCTACAAAACCCAGCTTAGAAGCAGACGACAAAAAAACAGTGAAACCATGCAAGAATTTGAAGCGGACATTCTACGTCTAGTCAGGTTAGCATTTCCATCACTACCTGAGGAGACCATTCAAGAGCTAGCAGTCGAAGCATTTGTTAATGGAATTTATGATTCGGAAATA